TGCTTATGGCCCTGCCCTTCTTAAGTTTTATTTTTAAAAAGCCTATTTTATCATAATCCAAAAAAAAAAAAAAAAAAAAAAAAAAACCTAAAAACAACAACAAAAAAGGTTAATAATCTGTGAGAAAGAGTGAGATCAATAAGATAACAAGCAGGTCAAAAGACCACGTCAGGGCATAGTAATTTATCAGGCTACTGAGGTCAGGGATGGATTCACAGAAGAGGTGACATCTGAACCATGCTTTAAAGGATGAGGCAGAGGGAGAAGGGAGAGAGGCCTTCCAGGTTAAGGTCAGCATGTACAAAGGCAGGGGGCACGGAAGAGCTTGGCTGTTCTGGGAACGGCGAGTAGTCTGGTGTTGATAGAGGACAGTCGTAGCTAGCTCTATAAATCAACATGAGAGACAATGAGGTGCAGGGTGGTGTGAGGGCAGAGGACAGTGACATGGCTTCAACTGGGGCACTGGGTTCCAAACTAGACTCCCTCCAGCGTCTTCCCTCTTGTGGGAGGAATGCTTTTCACACCCTCCACCCCCCACCACCCATCTCTATCTTGCTAAAGGAGTCAACACCCTCAGCAACCCCTTCTTAGGTCCCCAAGCCATCTCACCGATCCTGTAGCCCAGCCTTCTCCAGATCCCCTTGACTCTTCAGCTGTATTAACTCCTGGCTCCTTTCATGGGCTTCCTTTTCCAGCTCCTGGGTCTTGGTTAGTAGAAGCAGCAGCTGGGTTGGCTCACTCCCATCCAGTCTCCCAGATGCACCAGGTTCTCGAGACCGGGCACCCACAGTCAAGCGCAGACAATAGGTCAACAGGGACCCTGAAAGCCTCACATGCTCAGCCTTGAGCTCCGTCAGATCTCTGAGTACAAGCAAGGAAAGAGCAGACTCTGGTACGGACCGAGGAAGGGAACATGGAGATCAGGCCCAGTGAAGCCTGAGGAGCAGGTCTGGGGAAAATCATCTGAATCCAACAATACCATCCCTCCCCACCCATTCTTCCTTCCCCTCTACCCCCATCCCCTACTTCCACAGCAGCCCACTCTCATTAAGTCTAGAATCGGTAGGGGCAAACCTCCCTTCTTAACCCCACACTAACCTGTCAGTGGCTGACTTCATTTCCAGGAAGTGGCGTCGGAAGGTCACCACCTCCCGCCACAGACCAAGAAGGCGACCGTGCTCCCCTTTCAGGTAGCCCTTGAAGAACTGTGTATTCAGAAATCCAGGTCATATCAAAGGACAGAGGACCGTCTTTCGCCAGCGCAGGAGTCTCAGACTCCTCCTGGCTCTCCCGGGGAAGGGAAAGATGGACTTACGGGAGACAGCTTATGACTGGGTGCCTATATTCAGGTCACGCTGAAGAGTTTAATAAAGTTAGCAGTGGTACTCAAGAGGTCAAAGGGTTGAGATGGCATATGACATTCCTCTGAGCTGATCAGAAAAAGATAAACAGTAGCTCCTCAACAAACCACTGCCATTATTACTGCAGACTTACAATAAGGATTCAAGGGCATACCACATGTAAATCACCTAGCAGAATACCTGGCAGGCAGCAAAGGCTCAGGAGACATTAGTTTCATTAGCTGGGATCTGAAAATTCCCCAGGGTCTGTATCCGGTCTTTCATCTCCATTCAGGTTCAGTAGCTACCTTCTTAGCATCTAGATATCTATGCCTCTGGAAGAGGGGAGTCAGTGAGCTTTCACATCTATCTAAAAACTGAAGCTGGCCAGTTAGGCAGGGACAGAGCTGCCCTGAGTGTCATTTCACCTGCCAGCAAAACCTTGACCAGATAGTTAAGGACAGAAGTCAGCTGAGAACCACAGCAGGGGCAAAGCTGCCAGCCCGAGTGGGGAGGAGGCTCAGGGACTTTAGCAATGGTTCAGCTTCCATCCAGGTCCCGAAGTTAACCTTTCCCAGCACTGACCAGGATGGAGGTGCCCGGAGCATAAGCCCCGCTCCCTGGCGGTTCCAGCCCCCTATTCCTCCTACCTCCTGCTCCATCTGCCACTGGCTCTCCTTCCTCATTAGCTCATCCCGGGCTCGGCTCCAGTCCACTGTCAGTTTTTCCACATCTTCCCGAAGCGCTTTATTCACCATGTCAGCTTTTTCCATGTGTAGTCGAAGCTGGGTGTTCACCTCTGCTAGACTCTCACACCTGCACTGGGGAGGGGCGGGAGCAAGTGCAAAATAAAGGCTTGATCCAACCCGTGGACCTCTTGGAGTAAGGTGACAAACACTGGAATTTTCCATTGCCAGGAACTTGAGGGCTAAGGGTGAGGTGCATGGTTTTATCCATGTTAGGCCTCACAGCTGAAGTTTCCCTTGAGCCTTCTGAACCCACTGGCTACCAGAATTACCCCCGGCCAGGGCGCCTGGATGGCTCAGTCGGTTGAGCGTCCGACTTCGGCTCAGGTCATGATCTCACGGTTCGCGGGTTCGAGCCCCGCGTCAGGCTCTGTGCTGACTGCCAGCTCAGAGCCTGGAGCCTGCTTTGGATTCTGTGTCTCCCTCTCTCTCTGACCCTCCTCTGCTCACGCTGTCTCTCTCTCTCAGAAATAAATAAAAAACATTTTAAAAATTAATAAAACAGAATCACCCCCAGCAAGAGAACGTGGGGTTCATCACCTCTGTTGCTCCTCCTCCAATCGGACCAGCAGCTGCTCCAGACTCGGCTCCTCCATGCTTTCCCATCTCTGAGAGATCGGTCCCTTAGCCGAACAGAAACAAGCCTTATTTACCTCCAAAGAGAACACCGTTCAAATCAATTCCCTGATGTCCCCTTCTGCAGCAACCTTTTTATTCCTTCTTTTAATTCTTTTGAAATTAGCAATATGTCCCTTTTCTTGATTGCTACGTCCTGAAGGTAAATCCACTGCATCCCCTTCTCCAAAAGTGAACCAGTGACCTCTCCTCAAAGGTGGCATTTGGTAATGAAAAGAGCTTTCAACCTAAGAAGCATGAGATATATCTTCCACTAATGGCCTTGACTTCTACTACACTACATTTTGGACTGCAGGAAGTTATGCAACTTCTCTGAGCCACAAAGTCTTCAATACAAAATGAAGCAGCTACCATTCCTCTCAGAAATCTGCCTTGCAGATTAAGTGACATCATCATATGACAATGCTAAATGGTGCTTGGCCTACATAGAACGGTGCTCAGTAAGTTTTGGTTCCTTCCCTCCTCTGGGGGAACTTTCCCAAGAGTAATGTGAGAATGAGAAGGTGCCGAGAGACAGCTGGAACAAAGGCAAATGGGTCTTTCAAAGCCAGGTCAACCCAGCCAACAGCACGAATAAATCCCTCTGCTACAAACATGTTTTTTAGGCCTGCAAAGGCCCACAGCTAAGACAGATAAACACTGACACCTTCTGGAGGAAAAACGCGTTTCTTCCCTCTGATTTCACATCCTTTCCAATTAAGTCTCCTGAAGCTGCATTTTGTCCTTAGAGAGCCAAGGGCTGGCATCTGACGGGCCCAGAATAGATAGTTCAATGAAAGTGTCTGTGTGATAAAGCTCTCAGGAGCTGAACACAGAGAGAGACTTCCACCAAACACTGCCTTATCATGCCCCAGCTTCCCTCATTCTGCAAACGAGGGCTTCCTTCCGAGCATACTCACCGAGGGCACAGGGGGAACACAAAACAGCCTCACTCACCCCAGAGGCTTCCAGCCGCTTCTCCAGCTCTTGGTACCAGGTCCGGTATTGCAACACCTGAGGCAAACAGAGCAGGATGTGGGCAATGGGCACGCCTAGTACAAACAGCCCAAAACAAAGGCCCTGGAGGATCTTGGGCAAACCTGTTGTGAACAGGGTCTGGGTGATAACAGTGAGGTAAGGTCGTTTCTATTTGGTCAGTTAATGATACTTTCTCTATACCTTTCGTATTGGAGAGTTGAGGTTTATAGGCTTCGGAACCAGAAAATACAGGCTTAGGTCCTAGCTCTATCCTAGGCGAGCAAATATAGACAACAAGTTTAGCCCTTGTCACCACCATCTTTAAAAGCGACAGGATATTGGGGCGCCTGGGTGGCTCAGTCGGTTAAGCATTCCGACTTCAGCTCAGGTCATGATCTCAGTTTGTTAGTTCAAGCCCCAAGTCAGGCTCTGTGCTGACAGCTCAGAGCCTGGAGCCTGCTTTGGATTCTGTGTCTCTCTGCCCCTCTCCCACTCACACTCTAGCGCGCTCTCTCTCTCAAAAATAAATAAACATTAAAAACATTTATGTTTTTTAAGTATTAAAAATTTTAAAAAGGGACAGGCTGTATCTCTCATGGAGTAGTTGTGGGCATCATGGGAGAGGCTGTTGTCTCCTGTAACCCTTGTCCCACCTCAGCACCCAGTGCTCAGAGGTGCACCCTTCGCCTCCCTGGAAGGGCAGCTGCCCCACCTTGGCCTGCAGCTTCCTCACGAGAGCTGCTTGCCTCTGCTGGGCCTCCTGGGAGTTCTTCAGCTGCCGCCAGGACGTGGCTTGGTTCTCTGCCATCTGCTGCTGTAGCGCCAGTACTTGCTCCTCCAGCACCAGCTGTAGTGACTGGGGCTTCATATTGTTCGATCCAGGGCCTCCCGCCTCCATGGGGGCACCAGACAGTCCAGCCCAAAGGCCCCTATCCAGCCAGAGGCTGTTCACTCCCAGTAAGGTCTCTGATCATTGTTGTGCCACTTGGATCTCCTCTTGAGCTGGGGACCAAAGCACACAGAGGAGGTGAAAGGGATGTCTAGGTGATTCAAATTTCCTCATCAAATGCTTACTACTCAGTCCCGCAAAGCTGGATAAGTGAGTTCCTTTACTACAGGACCCCTCAGAGCCTTTAAAATACTGACATGGACCCTAATCTCTAGGATTAGGAGGGGGGAGGCTATGATAAGCATCATTTCCCAAATTTATTGGGCCATGAGACAAGCTCACGGGACCAGTGTTTCTTGGCATGCCTTCTGGAACTCCGCACTAAACCAAGAGCCCCTGGGTTACCATTGCGTCCCTAGTGCTTGGCACAGTGCCTAATAAACATTTGTTGAATGAATCACTGAAGGTGTTTCTAGTCTGGTAGGGGAGAAAGACACAATTATAACACAATGGAGTATGTGTAATAATAACAGAGACATTATAGGATGGTATGGGAAAACAGTGGAAGGGCATTTAACCCCTTCTGGGGGTCTGTGAACTGTGGGAATCAACATCATCATAGTCAATACATGTTAAGTAGGTCTACAGGTCAGTCACACTGTTAAGCGCTTTACACATACTATGTCATTTTTGTCATCGCAAGAATCTCGAAACCTTCCTATTATACTTCAGGGTAGGTAATATTATAACTCTTGGTACATGGATGAAAAAACTGAGGCTTACAAAGGTTAAGCTTCAGTTAAAAAATCAGAAAGCTTAAACAATTTGTCCAAGTTCATACGGTTGGCACTTGGTTGATTAGGGATTTGAATACAAGCAGCCTGACTCTCTGACAAAGAAATGAAGTAGCAGGCATTTCAGGCAGGGGATCCATTAAGAGAGCAAGGGAAAAAAGAATCAGCTTCAGTAGGATAGCAAGGCCTTCTCACCCCCCAGGAGCTGGGCCAAAACAGGGCAATGGGCCTCCTGTGGGGGAGGAGGGGAGACTGGCTGAGGGGGAGGGGGACTAGCCTAACCAGTGACCTTGAGAGACACTCAGGAGAGAGAGAGGCACGGGGGTCAGGAAGAGTTTGGGATTAAGCTCTGCCTCTAATGGGCTCAGTGACCTCGGACATACCACTCTCCTTCCAGTCTCCTCATCCAAAAATTAGGGCTCCCAGCTACGTGACCTCTGAGTTTCTGAGGCTTCTAAAACACATGGTAACGTGGGAGGAGGCGGGTAGATTAGAGTTCTTGTTTTATTAATCCTGAGACATGAGACACCCACCAAAAGGATTAAGGAATATTTGATTTTCCAATTAATTCTCAAGAAAATGGAATATTAGAGCTTCCCTCTTGGTCCAGCCAGCAGCCCATCAGTGTGAACATCTGAAGAAAGTGGTATATATAGCAAAGGGAAATCTAAGATTTGCATATATAGTGGGAATTTCAGGGGCCCCAAATCCCTTTCATGCACCAAACTGTTGATCTACATCCTGGCTCAAATGCCACCTCTTATCATGTCATCCCAGATATATGCAGGAAGAGTTAATCACTTTTATAGCCACATATACACAAACACATGTATATGTATACACACACGACACCATTATATATGACATTTATATGTAACTATATATAATAGAGAGAGAATCTAATCTCCATATTACATTTTATCATTATTATCTGTTTTCTCTACTAATCTGTGAATTCCTTAAAAGCAGAAGCTGTCTAATCCATTTTAGTCATTAGTAGGTTGAAGAAATGCATGTGGGCCTCACTCCAGGCAGATCTAAACTCTTAGCAGAGGTTACAAATGTGGCCTGCTGGTTCTTTTCAATCATTATGTGGCCTATATCATGCTTTTACGAATTATTTTTTTATGTTTATTTATTATTGAGACAGAAACAGAGCATGAGTGGAGGAGGGACAGAGAGACAGGGAGACATAGAATCCAAAGCAGGCACCAGACTCTGAGCTGTCAGCACAGAGCTCAACACGGGGCTTGAACCCACGAACCGTGAGATCATGACCTGAGCTGAAGTCGGCCACTTAACCACTAAGCCACCTAGGCGCCCCTTACGAATTAAAATTAGGTATCAACGTTTACCACTGGGAGAACACATATAAAAAATCTTATTTCTAGGAGTGCCTGGGTGGCTCAGTCGGTTGAGTGTCTGACTTTTGACTTCGGCTCAGGTCATGATTCCAAGGTTGTGGGATCAAGCCCTGCATCAGGCTTCTCACTGGACATGAAACCTGCTTATCTCTCTCTCTCTCTCTCTCTCTCTCTCTCTCTCTCTCTCTCTCTCCCTCTCTCTCTCTCTCCCTCCCTCCTCTACCTCCTCCCCCACTCTCTCTCTCAAATAAAAATTAATAGTAATAATTTAAAATTTTAAAAAGTTCTTATTTCTGGCTCCTTTGGAAAATCAGAATATCTAGTGACCTGGGACTCACATTCCTATAAGGCAACAAGAGCTGCAGTGTCTACTGTCTTAGATAAGGCACAGGCTCTCCAGTTCACCAGATTCCACCCCGCCCCAGCCTATCCTCTCCCTCACACTGATAGCAAATTTTAGTTGCCATTAATTCTTGCACTTGTGCTGTTGTTTTACTTCTTTTTTTTAATGTTTATTTATTTTGAGAGAGAGAGAAAGGGAGAGAGAGAATCCCAAGTAGGCTCCACGCTGTCAGCACAGGGGCTCCATCTCATGAACTGTGAGATCATGACCTGTGCCGAAACCAAGAGTTGGACACTTAACCAACTGAGCCCAGGTACCCTGTGCTGTTGTTCTTCTTATAACAGAGTTACAGGGGAAAACTCAGTTTCCTAACTCACATCACCTCCCGGGCAACAGAAGACAGCTGAGTTGGCAGAGCTTGTAGCAGGCAGTAAGGAAAGTGCACAAAGCAGGAAGAGTAGAGTAGCACCAATGCCCCCAGCTGCCTCTCCTAACCTAGAACCTGGCCGAATGCAGTCTTCCTCACATTCCAAACATCCTCTCTTTCTGTCCTTCCTTTCCACCGAGGCTGTGTCAACCAGCTCGCCGTGGCTCTCTGAAATGCTGGCTCAGTTGCTCTCTGCCAGTTGGAGGCACAAACCTGCCGGGAAACCACTTTTGGGGCCAACAGTGCCAGCAAGAGTAGGTCTGACAGCTCAGAGCCTAGAGCCTGGCTTCAGATTCTGTGTCTCCCTCTTTCTCTGATCCTCCCCTACTCACGCTGTCTTTCTCTCTCTCTCTCAAAAATAGATAAAACATTAAAAAAAATTTTAAATAAAAAAATAAATAAAAATTTAGCCCAATCTTCTCATTTTACAGAGAAGGAAACTGAGGCCTCCAGAAAGCCAGTAACTTTTTTACTTGTTCCTGTTTTATTTATATGCCCCATTTATCTCAATAAATGATTTGGAATTGTAGCAAATGGACCACATGAATGGGAGACGTTACTAATGGGGGAAATGAGATGCAAAGTATATGGGAACTCTCTATATTGCACAATTTTTCTATACATCTAAAATTGTTCTTAAAAAGTTTTAAAAACTAGTTGAAGTGTTTTATGATTAAAACTAAAAAAAATATCCCCATAAAACTGAAATTCATTAAAACTAGAATAAAAAGAGGGAGGGAACAGAGGAAAATTACATCAAGAATCTTTCTGAAATTGAGATTTAGCTCTGAGCTTCCTCAAAGACGCAGTTCAGCACCGTTTTGTTAACACTGTTTTGTTAACAGATCTGCCAGAGAACAAATTAGCAGAGTGTCAAAAGAAAGGTGGGTTTCAATCCCCCAGAAAAAGAAAAGGTCAGTAGTTGGCAAATGGTGACAGACTGAATTACATTCACCTGAGATAATGGATGTCTGTGTGCTTTGTAAATTGTAAAGCACTGAATAGACACTGTCATTACTGCAGGAAAAGGAAAAAGACTCACTTCTTTCATGCATTAATGTATCCCATAAATGCTCATGAATTTCAGCTCAGTTCTTGGCAGTCTGCCCCAGTGATACAGACATGAGCAAGATGGACTTCCTCCTCTTGCGAGGAACCAGACTGGAAGGGCAGTAACCTCTGAACCTAAGGTGGAAAGTGACAGAAGAGTGATCTACATTACGTATTTAGTTCCCTTCATCTGAAATACTCCAAACGTGGTATTTAAATAAAGTTTCAAAAATCTCTTTTTATTTATTTTTTTTTATTTTTTATTTTTTAAATTTATTTCTAGGAGAGAGAGAAACAGCGTGAGCAGGGGAGGGTCAGAGAGAGAGGGAGTCACAGACTGAAACAGGCTCCAGGCTCTGAGCTGGCAGCCAGCACAGAGCCCGACGCGGGGCTCGAACCCACGAACCGTGAGATCATGACCTAAGCGAAAGTCGGACGCTTAACCGACTAAGCCACCCAGGCGCCCCAAAAATCTCTTTTTAATGTTTATTTCTTTTTGAGAATGAGAGGGAGAGAGAGAGAGCGAGTGCAGGGGAAGGGCAGAGAGAGAGGGGGACAGAGGATCCAAAGCAGGTTCTGCGCTGACAGCTGACAGCCTGATGAGGGGCTCAAACCCATGAATGGGGCTCAAACCCCCTGACCGCGAGATTGTGACCTAAGCCAAAGTCGGATGCTTAACTGCCTGAGCCACCCAGGCACTCCTAAATAAAGTTTCAAATAGAAGCAACACCACCTACACTTGGACGGATACATACTGCAAGGACTATGATGGGGACTGGTCTTATTAAATAGAATTTGTCACTTAAAGTCAAAAAGGAAAAAACACTTGAGGGCACAAACAGTTTACTTCCTGTGCAAAGAAACTACATACATTTGTCTGCAGAGACAATCTCTGTTTCTTATTCCACACAAGAAAATTTAGCATGCGGTCCCCTTACATGAATCTCCCATGGGGGACCCCTCTCTGTTCTCCCACCTCTCTGGGCTCTCCCTTTTGTCTCCTTTGCTGGCTTCTCATCTCCCCAACATCTGAAGGTTGGAGGTCCCAGACCTCAGGCTTCAGCCCTCGCCTCCATTTACATTCATTTCCTAGGCACCCTCATCCAGTTTCATAACATAAAATAGCACCTAGACATGCATGACTCCACATGTTACATCTCCAGCCCACACTTCCCTCTGGGATTTTACACTCTCAGACTAAGTACAAACACCTTTAACTCCTCCACATGGGTGTCTAAAAGACACCTCAACGCTAACTTGTCCAAACGTGAACTTCTGATGACCTTGTGGTGCAACGGACTCCAAAAGTGAACTCCTGCTCCTCCAATCTTCCCCATTTCAGTTAATTGCAATGCCATCATTCTGGCTGCTCAAACCCAAAGCCTACAGTCATACTTATTCCATTCTCCCACACCCTGTAACAATCAATCGGTAAACCCTGTTGGCTCTACCAGATCCTATCACATTTCAACCCCTAACCACCATGATCCTGGGCCAAGCCCAAGTGGGATGGAATAAGATTTGCCCAAGAAGTCTTTGATTCACGTTCTTTTAAGAGGTGAAGCCTAATTCTCTCCCCCTGAGTAGAATAAAGTAGAAATGGCTGCCAAGACAAGGTCATAAAAGGCACTGCAGCCTCGGTCTCTCTTTTACTCTCTCCCCCATGTCCTGAGGACACTCAGACAGCCCTGTGAGAAGGCCCAGAAGTAAGGAAGCATCCTGGGAGCAGTGCGGCCATCAGCTAGACTGCAGTCTCGTGGGAGATTATAAACCAAAAACACCCAGCTAAATTGCTCCTAGATTTCTAAACCACAACTGAATGAGATAACAATTGCTATTTCAAGCTGCTAAATTTGGGAGTGATTCCTTGCCCAGAGACAGAGAATTAATATATCTGGATTACTGCAAAAGCTTCCTAGATGGTAGTGATGCTTCCACCCTTGCTTCTAGAATTTCTTCTCAATAGACTAATCTGAGTGATCCTTTCAAAACAGCGACAGATTATGCAACTCAGAACCCTCCAAAGGCTACTCAGTAAAAACCAAAATCATCATCATGGCCCACAGGCTCCTAATTATTTGCTCCCAGCCTCAAATTGTTTTAATTCCATTCCCTACTCCTCCCCAGCCACAAAGCCCTCCTTGCTTCACGTATTAGAACACACCAAGCCACCCACCCATCCCTGGGCCTCTTCCTCCAGTTATCTTCTTGATTCGCTTGCTCGCCCTTACCACCTTCAGGCCTCTGTTCAAATGTCACCATCTCAGTTAAAGTTGTTCCTTAACCCCATATAAAATACCACCACTCTTCCACACACACTGGTATTTCTATTTACCTTATCATGCGTTATCTGTCCTTATCTGATTATTATGTGTAATATACTTATCAGAATGTAAATTTCCCAAGTGCAAGAATAGTGTTATTGGCTGCTATATTCCCAGCTCCTAAAACAGTGCTTAGTATATAGCAGGTACTCATTAACTATTCGGCTGAATGAACGAAGGAATATAAGACCATTAGGTACCATGGTCTATGTTACCAATAGTCTTACAAAACACTGACAGCTCTATAACCTTCTAAAAGGTAAAAAACAGATCATGTAGCACTTCACTCTCTCAAAACAATTATTTGCAATCTTCACAAAAAAACCTTTGCGATAAGGGGTGCCAGGGTAGCTCAGTCTGTTAAGTTTTCGACTCTTGGTTTCTGTTCAGGTCATGATCTGAAAGTTCATGAGTTGGAGTCCCGCATTGGGCTCTGTGCTGACAGTGCAGACACACCTGCTTGGAATTCCCTCTCTCTGCCCCTCCCCTTCTCACATGCTCTGTCTCATGCTCTCTCTCTCAAAATAAATAAATAAACTTAAAAAAAAAAAACCCTTTGTGATAAGATCATTGCCTTCATTTTGCAGAGAAGAAAACTAGGCTCAAAACATGTAAGGGATATAACTTATCAGTAGCAGAACAAGCACGAAACCCCAATCTGCTTCCAAACCCTAGGCCTTCTCCATTACATTAAGTTGCCTCCCAAAGAATGAAATAGTAAATCACAGCTCTGTGAAGGGAATTTCCTAAAGGGTGTGAATTGATGAGTCCTAGGTCTGCAGCTCTCTGACAGAAAGGCAGCAAAGAAAGGTAGATTGTGAAGGAACAGAGGGCTGGTAGCAGGTTCTCGCCCTGGTTTTGTCATGAACTCAGTCTGTACATTTGGGAACATCAATTCTCCTTTCCAAGCCTTCTCAGGCAAATGCACATCATAATCATGGCCTCCACAACTCATGGGGTTAATGTAAGGACCAATTCAACAGACATTTATCAAACCCAGTGAAATTATCGCATGCTCCGGGGACAGAGAGCCTGGAATTCACTTCCCAGACCCACTCACGTATTAGTTGTGGAACTCTAGGCAAAATGATCTACGAATGCTTCAGTTTCTTCATGCATAAAATGTGAAGATATAGAATCCATTTCATGAAATTGCTGAGGATAAAATGGCCTTTCACATGTAATGCATTTAGTAGCACTTGGCACTTGTGACTATTTAGCAAAATATTAGTATTATTACTATCATCATGCGCTAGACTCTGGAATGACGCCCAAGTGCTCGTTGTGGAAACAGGGGCAGAAAAACTAATTCCGTGCAACGAGTGCAAAAACCAAGTAGTGAGATTAACAGTGCCTGCAGAAAAGCGGTTGGGAAAGGTTTCCAAGGAAGTGATATTTGAATTGGGTCGCGAAGAACCAAAGTTCCGGAGCAGGGTGGGAGTGGGACTGGGCTGTGGGACAGATCACGTGCAAAGCCCCAAGGACAGAGGGAGCGGCAAAATTCTGGGAACCGGGAGCGAGACGCGCAACAGAGCGCAGCGGGCTCGTCAGCTATTGGACACGAGGGTCGGGAACATCCCTTTCTGCGCGGATTGGAGCCCAGAGCGGTGGCCGCAGCCGGATGCGGAGGCAAGGGGCCCGGATCCCTGGGATGGGGCCCAGCCCCGCTCTGGGCCTCGGGTTCCTCCCGGGTACCGGGAGGCCGGGGCTCCAACGCGATTCCCTAAGGCGCCCTAGGCGGACCGGTCTCTGGGCCTTGGACCGTTAACCCGGGCACCTCCCGCCTGCCCCACCTCACCACTCTCGGCTCCCGCGATTTCCAGCGTGATCCTCAGCGCCGGAGTGGGAGATGTTGCTACTAAGGCCCGGCGGGGGGCGGGGGCCCGGCACCGGGCCCAGGCCCAGACCCCGCCCCCCAGACTCCCGCCCTGGCAGAGCTCTTCCCCCACCCCCACAAGTAGAGTGCCCCTAAGCGGATTGCACCACTTCGGCGCCTGCCGCCATGTTGAGTACTGGCAGCCGACTTACGGGAGTGGCCCAGATGGAAAGGCGGGATTACATAAAGAGACGTAAGATTCCCTGGCCAGAAATGAGGACAGCCAGAGTTGCTGGATTCGAGCAAGGGCAGTTTTGGTAACAGAAAATATCGCGTTCAGTCATCCCCCTTTTGGCTTCGGGGTTACACACTGCGCATGTGTATGGGGCTTAATTCTACGGGCGCCTGCTCACTGCTCGACCCACAAACCCGAATGCAATTAACAACTGCTTGAGTTACTAGGGAACGGGCCCGTGGGTCTGAATAAAACCTGTAGGGTGCAGAGTTGTGGGGTTTTTTGTATTCAGACCTCGTAGCTCCAAGCCGACTCAGACTACACAACTTAGTGTCGTTTGAACACGCAGCACTGTTTTCACTGACGTCTTTGCACAAGGTGGTCACTGCCTGAATGTCTTACATCCATTCGGAGAACTGCAGTTTATCTAATATTCTGTGTAAGCCTGACTTCCTCTAGAAGACTCTATGGCCCAAGTGTTATTCCTTTAGCATTTTGTGCTTAAATTATCAATGCATTATCAACCACAACATTTCCTTAGAGTTAGAAATTTAATTTACCTGCCTCTTTTTCACTCAGTGGTTCTAATATTTAGTTGGGATTAAAAATAAAACCAGGGGCGCCTGAGTGGCCCAGTCCTTGGGCATCAGACTCTTAATTTTGGCTCAGGTCGTGATCTCACGGTGATGAGATGGGAGCTTGTTGCTGGATGTGGAGCCTGCTTGATATTCTCTCCCTCTCCCTGTGTGTGTGCTCTCTTTCCCTCTCTCCCCACCTCTCTCTCTCTCTCTCTCTCAAAAAAAAAAAAAAAGGAAATTCTTAAAATGCAAAGTCCTGGGTTCCACTTCTAGGGAGTGAGTAAACCAAGGGTGGAGCCCAGGAATCGACATTTTGACAAATACCTTAAGTGATTGAGAAGCACTGAACAAGGCTGTGTATTTCTAGCACCCAGCACAAGGCCTGCTACAAAATAGGTCCTTATTGGGGCGCCTAGATGGCTCAGTCGGATAGGCATCTGACTTTGGCTCAGGTCATGATCTCACAGTTCGTGGGTTCGAGCCCCACGTCAGACTCTGTGCTGACAGCTCAGAGCCTGGAGCCTGTTTCAGATTCTGTGTCTCCCTCTCTCTCTGACCCTCCCCTGCTTGCTCACGCTCTCTCTCTCTCTCTCTCTCTCAGAAATAAATAAAATATAAAAAAAATAGGTCCTTATTAAGTACTGAGTGAATAGATGGATGGATGGAGTGAAACAGACAATCTGCAGCCACAGGAACCTGAGAATGGAACACTTTGATAAGAGCTATATTGTTTCTTTTCTTCTATAAGAAAAAAATTCTTAATAGTTACTTTAAGAAAAAGAGAAAGTAAATGGGAGAGGTGGAAAAGAAACATCGCAGATACTGGACAGAGAAAAAGATGCAAAGAATCAGTGGTGTGGAAATCCACCCCAGAACAGGTACTGTGCAAGAATGTTCACTACAACCATATTTGGAATGGAGAGAAAAGAAATGACTTCTTTGCCTCAGGGCCCTAAATAGGCCTTCTATTTAGACTGCTTTTCCCCTAGCTCTAGGCTTAACTGATACCTACCCCTCCTTCAGGCCTCAGCTTAAATGATACTTCCTCAGGTAGGTCTTCCCTGACCATGCCATCTAAAATAATACCCTATCGGGGCGCCTAGGTGGCTTCGTTGGTTAAGCGTCCGACTTTCGCTTAGGTCATGATCTCGCGGTTCGAGAGTTCGAGCCCCGCATCGGGCTCTGTGCTGACTGCCAGCTCAGAGCCTGGAGCCTGTTTCAGTCTGTGACTCCCTCTCTCTCTGACCCTCCCCTGCTCACGCTGTCTCTCTCTATCTCTCCTAGAAATAAATAAAACATTAAAAAATAAAATAAAATAATACCCTATCATTTTCTATCACAGTACTCTGTTTCTTTCATAGTATTTTCCACTTATTATCATTTTTTGTTTACTTATTATCTTTCTCCCCCTCTAACATTTAAGCTTCATGAGGACAGGAAACTATATCTGACTTATTCCCAGCATTTAGTACAGAGCCTGATACATGGTAGGTTCTAAATAAGCACCCATTGGATGAATGAATCCAGTCAACATCAGTGTTACGAAGGTTAATAGCATAAAAGCCATCAGCGAACTACACAATCTGTTTTAAGACCATGAGAAGTAAATGTAGGTTTCAGACTACTTATAAAGGGTAAATGGAATAGAAGGGGATTAACACCAAACTAATCTTCAATCTTTGTAAAGGGGGTTTGTTCATGCATTCTCTCATCTGTTTATTCATTCACCCTGCTAACATTTACTGAACATATATTATGTACTAGTATTAGATAATAATACAATGTATTAACAGAATACATTAGAAATTGTACTAAACATAAAGTAGTACAACTGGGGAACACCTGGGTGGCTCAGTCGGTTAAGCAACCGACTCTGGCTCAGGTCATGATCTCCCAGTCCGTGAGTCCCAAAGAGTTGGGCTCTGTGCTAACAGCTTGGAGCCTGGAGCCTGTTTCAGATTCTGTGTCTCCCTCTCTCTCTGTCCCTCCTCTCTAGCTTTTTGTCTCTCAGTCTCTCTCAAAAATAAATAAACATTAAAAAAATAGTACAACTGGGTATTTTGTCTGAGCAAGAGCAGAAAGTGTGGTTACTGATGTGTGAAAGTGAGTAACATTACCCCTAGAGGTTCTCTAGACTTTGAAAGTACATCAGCCTTCAAATGCTCTTCAAAGTGCCAGGGACTTTTGGGACAAACTAGTAATCATACACATCACTTGAATTGCTTGAGGCCCAAGTGCCCTCTGAGAAAAGACTTAATCTAGACACAATTAGAGTCTGGCCATGATGAACCAGAGTGGGAAGAAGTTCTCAAAGGAGGCTGGATTGAAGGGAAAGACAGTGGATCAGTGGGAAGAAAACCAACACTGGTCCCCTCCAGCCTTCTTCCTCTATGCTCCAAATTCCATCTCTGGGAACATGCTTTATATCCAAATCCTCTCCCAGGGCTATATTGTGGATCCTGCACCCCAGCTTTGTTCATTATTTGTAGATATTCTCTCCCACCCCCACCATGCCAAAAAGCTTCCTGGAGTGATGGACTTCTTTCTTTTTGAAATTATATATGTGAAATTTCAAAGTGAGGTGCTAAAATATATGTTTTTTTCTAATGGCCTAAAATCTATTTTGAAGTTCTTAAATCCCTTTTCTATTGGGCCAAGAGAGTGGAGGATAGAGAATTTGTGTGGAGCTATTTCTGGCTGTGAGTCCCCACCCTTCTTGGAGAAGATTTAATGTCTTAAGCCAGGTGATTGGAACAGGGGACTTCCAGAAGGGTTTGAGGTGCCAAATCTGTCCCCATTGCAGTTAGAGAACATAGTGACTGGATCCACCTCCTGCCTGGGAAATCTAGCAACAAGGGACAAGCCTGATAACGGCTTTGGTAGCAGGCTAAGGGGAGTGCTGCTGTGTTGGGGTTGGCCTGCTCTCCCAGAATTTTTCAAGGAATGTTTTCTGTAGGCCAGATGTGGGCTAAGTGAGAGAAAGCCTGCCCGAGGCCTGCCCTGGGTCCTGTAGAGTAGGGCCTCCTAGAGGGGTAAAGAGACCCCAGAAGTAAGAAGACAAATGACCACTGGCAATAGAGAAGCCTTTGCTAAGGGGAATTCAGGAGAGGGACCCAGCAGGGAACCCCTGAAGAGCCTGGAAAAGCACCCCATGAAGCTTTGATGATGGACAGGAACAGCTATAAACATCTGCCAGACCCAGAAAGCATAAAGCCAATGACATTACTAGTTCAAAGAAGACTTTTCCCACTCCATGTCAACACCTTGAGTGACGGAAGCAAGCTGAGGATGACAGAGGGGGAAAATTTGAGGAAAAAACCTAACTATTCCCCTCTTTCTCACTCCAAGCCTACAGTCTGAAGCAAAGCTAGAGGCACAAAAAGAATATAGTATCTTGGAGTAGATTGTGGCAACTTGCTACTGTCCACCTAAGTCTATTCATTCCTCATTAAACAAATATTGATTGAGCACCTACTATGTGCCAGATCTTGAGCTAGACCCTGGAAGAGACCCAAAGAACACATGAACCCTGCCTAGAGCTTCAGTTCACAGACTCACACGGGAGGCAGACAAATACACGCATATTGCACACACACAACACAGTGTGGCAAATCTTATAAAGAGGGAGTTTCTGGCTTCAGAGAGGTGGTGATACTACAACCTGATTGTGAAGGGTAAATCTGCTGAGCAGAGAAAGGCAGGAAGGACGTTCCAAGCAATGGGCACGGCACGGTGGAGTAGCACAAGGGCATAGGATATTTGGGGAATGCGGGGTTCCCTCTGGGCACTCCTCTTGCTGAGTCTACCACTTGGTTGGATTGTATGAATTTTCTTGGACTGGATAATTAGATGATAATGATACAGTCCCTTTCATTTGCTGGATATTTTCCCCCTGGCCCTGACTTGCCTCAGCTTGACAAAGTCAAGCTCTAAGTAACTGACTCATCTAAGGTTGACATTTCTGTGGGTGGCATCTTTGTACCACCATCCAGGACTTGGGCAGCAAAGGATGTTGTTGACAGCTCCCACAGGACCAGGTCCTCTCCCGCCTCAAAAACTGAGTCCTTACTTATATCTTGAGACTTTATCTGCTGCCTCATGTGACACAGCAACTAAGATCTAAGATTCCAGACATGAGGGACACCTGGATGGCTCATTTGGTTGAACATCTGATCTTGATTTCAGCTCAAGTCATGATCCCAGGGTTGTGGGATCAAGCCCTGCATTGGGTCCTGCACTGAGCATGGAGCTTGCTTGGGAATCTCTCTCTTC